CAATCCAACAAACCGCGAAATTAAAATCAAAAAGCCAACTCCGTAAATAAAAAAAAAAACACTTATCAAAATAAAATATATAATCAGCTAGGGGCAAATGAGTATTCGAGAACATTCGCTCGTTTGCAAAAAAATGTGATCATTCGTATTTATACACAGGCATTCGTAATGCTGCCATATATAAAGTATGTAAACATCCGCAGTGGCATTCGTAAACATTCGAATGCGTACACCACACGAATGCGACGCGAATGCGGCGCGAATATTTACATACATTATATATGACAGCATTGCGAATACATGAATCGACACGAATGTACCGTGAACCGTCAGTTCTACTCAATTTCACAATGACTGAAGAAGTTTTTCTGCGCAAATTACAGAAATTGGTGGGAAAAAATTTGCCTCGTGGCCTAGATCGTATATTATTTGAAGCGGGATATGACGCTGAATCGGCACTTGCAACGATAAATACAAATTCAATAAAAAGTATAGAAGACTACATAAACGAAAATAATAAAGAAGTGTTGAAAAATACAGTATATGAAAATTTGTTGGCAAACGATTTGCAATTTAGATTAAAACCGGGGAACAAGGCACTTATTTTGAGTTTACCGAAATCACTACAAGAATCCGAAGCGAAAAAAAACCAGTTTGTGCACAGCCACTGCCAAATTTGCCAAGCGAAGTGGAAATTCTCCGGAAATCTCTTGTAGATAAATTAACAAAATTTGCAAAAAAGTGTGGCATTGACATATTATTCAGTGAAACCTCAATTTTTGATTTTTGTACAGAAAACGCAGTTCATAAGTGTCGTGTTGAGTGCCCTTTTTGTGAAAAAAAAATTAGATGTGAATATAAGCGGTACTGGCTGGTCAGTAATTTTGAAAAACATTTAAAGGTTCATTTTGCTCGCGACATTCAGTTTGAAACTGTCAGCATTGAACCACACGACACATCGGCGCCAATCGAAACCGGACAGTCACATCCTTTCGTATCGTATGTTAATAGTCAATCGAAAGAATTAGACGAAGTTCTTACCGACTGAAAATAAGTAAAAATTTGTCGAAAAAACTCATATCATGGTTTACTTCGTGGTTTTTTTGCGTGAGCTCCGGAAAAATGTGGTTTTGCCAGCCACGTGGATAAAGGACATAGACAAACATTACGAAAAGTTCATGAACAATAGTCTTAATAGCGCACAGCAGCATTTATGCTTCTACAATTCGAATGCCGAAGCACAAATCGATGGCCGTCCCGACGAAAATGTTGTACCAGACTTCAATTCGGAACATTGCTTCCATGGCAAGTTGAAACATTATCACGGTGAGTGGCTAAAAAGTTTGGAACACTGATTTTTGAAATAACACAATCGTAATTCTCGTTTTGTTAGTGCGCTACGAGGACGCCGTTGAATTTATGAATCATCTACGCCATGTCGAACCAGCGGTTTATAACCAGCGCCGTTTGAACGAATTGCCGATTCCAGACCTTGAAAGCCAGTTGACTGAAACAACAGATTTCACCGACACACTAAACACTTCTTATGATTCAGCTGCCGATGAAAACGCCGAATCAGTCGATTCCAGCGGAAATGATCAATCATTAGTCAGCTCACTTGAAGAAATCATTAATGATCCAAACCAAGAACTTGAAGTAAGCGATGTGAACGATGGCGAAATCACGAACAGCACTGATCCCTTGGCAGTAACGGTCCATCAAAACTGTCAGGCGTCCAGCGAAGTTCAAAGCGTTTCCACTCAAATTGTGGCGACTTCATCAAATACCGACGAATCTGGTTCCCTAAACGCTACGGTTCAAAACAACGAACCTAATCAATCTAATGACATTCGGATTGTGGCAGTCGAAAGTTTGGTTGACTCGGCAAGTAACAAAAATGGCATGGACAATGAGCAGCAACCAAGTGACACTGTAGTCACAGAAGGAACGATTGATTCAGAAAACGACGCACAAAATTTGGAATTGGATTCATTGGCCACTGGTTCTATTGATCGAAAAAGTAATGTGGTCCCGTTATTCAATGTTCATGACGCCAACAACGATGAAATTGATCAGTTATTGGAAGAACCGGAAGAGATAGTTTATGAAGATGATGTTGTGATTATGGTTGGACGGCATGGACTTCCAAAACCGATGGCAGCGACCGAAGATGATATGATTAAGCGAGAAAACGATCAAATGACTGGGAACATCCCGTTCAACGAAACGGTTCGTTAAATCATTTTTAGATAATTTATACTTCAAACACAAATATTCATTTTCTTCTATAATAATAGGGTAACGGAAGAATTTACAAAATCGGTGGGAAGCTAATCGAGATTCCAAAGAAAGCAGTTGAAAAAATCATTGAATGGAATGTTGGCCCAAGACGTGACGATACCCAATATGATCGCAAAGTTTGCCATTCATTGTTGCTGTCTTTGGTAGCCAAAGAACAACTCCAAGCTGTTGATGCTGCTGTGATGGAATTCATAAAGGGTGAATAGTCATGATGTTATATAATAACTGTTTTCTAATGAAATATTTTTTACATTAGATTGTTTCATCATTCGTTGTTCTGGTTCTGGTGTCAACTTCGAAGATCGTGTCGGCCGTATTGATGTATACAAGGACGAATTGTCGATCAAGTTGTGCGGCAAAAATTGCGATGCCTCTACATTGAAGAAGTAAAAATGTGTTCAATGCTGTTTTTCGCCTCATTATTTTTGATTTACTTTGATTTATTTTTACTAACGGAACATTATCTAACGTATTTAAAAGTCAATGTTCCTGGCAAAAAAAAATGCAAACCAACAAATTCCATTAAACAATGAAATGATTTAATTTTAATACATGCAACTCAGATTCTCATAGCAACAGAAACGTACAAACAAGAAAGACTTAAAAGCTTTAAAATACCAAATGAAAAAGACTAGAACATTTTTCTATAAGAATGAATTCTAGAAGATGAAAATTAGTTCAAATCATAGAATTTATATTTCCTTATTAATTAATATGAGCAAAAAAAAGAATAACAAAAGCAAACGTTCCTCCGATAAATAAGAAATATCTTAACTGAATAGTGCCTTGTGATTAATATACACAAAGTTTATAGTCCCGTCCGTTTATTTGAATGAAAGTTCATATATTTATTCATAAGAAGCGAAATCATTCAAGCAATGTGAGGTGCCTTTACCAATTTTATATATAGATTTTAAGAATGATTTCAATTTAATAAGGGAATCAAAGCAATACATATTTTTGAACGATTTACAATTTAAAACTTCATTCAAAATTAGGTGAAAAGTCAGTTTTCTTAAAATAGTCTAAAGTTTTTGAACGGCAATGCCATTGAATGTAACCATTCTTTAAAAAGAGTAAATATTGGTTTGGTAACAAATGAATTCATGCTAATGTGACTTCTTGAGAAAAAAAACCGCGTAATTATTTTGAATGTAATTTTTTTTTTCAATTTCAAACCTTTAGAAAAGTATTCAATAATGAAAACCGTGCAACTTTCAGTAAGACTCTTGGTATATTCAAGACAATTTAAGAAATTAAAAAAACTGTAGTTTTTTTTTTAAATAAATAATATTTCCTCTATTTACTTATTTGTTGACATTTTTTTACTTTGACAAATTTTTCAGTTCCTCTTCTAATATAATTAAACATTGTCGTGACAAATATATATTCCCATTCATATTTTTTTCGATTGAATGGTGGGATATATTTGCAATATAGATCTCGATATTGATAAATGAGGATGTTTCATAAGAAAATAAGCCATTTTCATCCATTTTGTGCCATGCAGCTAAAACTTCAACTCCACGCGCACTCAACTCACGTGATGTTGGACAAAAGTCCCATGTATACTTTTTGTCCTTCTTCGCTTTGCCATCCTTATATCTGAACGCTAAAATGTTTCCCAACATGAAATTGGCATTATTATCTCCTCCAACCAAATCATCTTCAATTTGGTCATGGAATAAACACCAATCGCCGATTTTAATTTCAGTACATTTGTTCAGGAATTGTTTGGCAGAATCGACGTCGACAAATTCTAGTTGACGACGTGAAGATTTCTTTTTGGCTTGAACTCGGATTAATCGGTCAGAGCTGAGTTTTTCTTTTGAGTTTGATATGCTCCATATTAAAGTTGATTTTCGTGCAAATTTATCTCCGTCTTTTCCAGCAACAGCGACGTATGAACTGCTTTCTCCTGTAGTTCGATCTGAATAATCTATGAGATAATCACCCACAAGAATTTCATCGCTATTATTACTTGAAGCAATACCCAAGTCAATATGGACATTATTGGAAGACTGATTGACTGTATTGAAAGAAACATCAACTTGCTTAATTGTACATTTTTCAATGTCTTTTTCGGTGACAAATATTCCGAACTTTTTGCAGTCTTCTACAGCGACACCTAATGCCTCCTTGATGGTAATATCTATTTCAGAATCTGTTGGTAGCTCAAAATGGTTAAGTTTAGCTTTGTGAATCGGATTTCTAGGAAATTTTACGTCAATATCAGCCAATTTAAAGTTCATTATATCATCCATCAGCTCTAAACGCCCAATAAGGTGTGTCAATTCCAAAAGCGTGAAATTAACTTTGGTGAAATTCAGACTAGTCATCGAACGTAATTTGCGGAAAGATTCCTCGCAAGGTTGACTGTTAAATAATGTTGGATGAAAACATTGTGTCAAGCCTTCATTTCGAAATTTCTTCATCAAAATCACAAGATTTTTTGCGTTTAATTCCACACATTGGTAGGCGTTGCGACTTATGAAATTGGTTTCGAGATTCACACCAGGCGTTTGTTTCAGCCAGAGCCGCCATCCTCTTAGAAAAAAGGTGGATCGCCAAATCCGCGAGAGGCGCTCCAATGGAGGCAAATCTTCATCGTATAGGCTCGATGTTATTTCGTCGCAAATACGGATATACTCTATTGTGGCTTCGGAGCCAAGAACATATCTCGCCAGTGCTTCTCGCACCTGTGGTTGCATAACCTTCTCGAGAGAGTGATAATTTTGACGATCGTCAGGGCATATAGTAGAGTAAGACAATCCGTGGACAGCTTTCGGTACCGAATTTATCAGCATTTTCAAATGCGCGACCGATGCCACCTTGTTCCCAATTAATAAAAATATGACCGCATCCAAAAGTCGATTGCGTAGCTTGGTTCCGATGTGGATGATATCTTGCAGAAAAACAATTAACGAATCCAAGTCGCCAAACCATTCGTTCCATTTCAAGTTGAAATTAGAATTATATCTCATGCTATTCAAAATTCGCCCATCGCCATCACCAGAGAAACCCGCCACTTTGATACCATGCCTAGAATTTTATGAATACTCAATGTGGTTGTTGAAAAACAATCGTTGTGTGGGTTTACCTTTCTAATTCAGCTCTAGTGTATTTCCAACGTAACAAAACATCTTGTGTGGTGAATTTATTATCGCTACCGAATAACTGCAATACAAATGCAGGTACATTCTTCATGATGGGTTGCGCCATAACCATATAAACATGGGTGGATTTACTGCAGTTCATGTTCTTACGAATATCTTCTTCGCTTGTAGCTAAAAAAGTGAATGGAATGGGCATACCGGTCATGGAATCGGTGGGAAGTACCAGCCCAACCATTTGGTTTGTTTTTGGGTCGAACTCCACTTTGCCTACAATGGCCGTTGCATCTTCGGATAGCCAAACATGTTTGTCTAGGCTGAGACTGTCCAAATAATGACTTAACTCTTTTATTCGCAGCTCGCCCTCGATAATTTTTGGTTTATGTTGATTGATGTAACCCACTGAGAATGTGTGAATTTTAGGTAATTTTTCAACAACAAAACTGAAAATGCGAATCAAACTTACAAATTGTATTAGCTTGAGGAATTGGTAAATTAGCAGACAGCGTCTCATTACAAGCCTTTCCACACATCAGATAGATAAACGTAGAAAAATATCGGCTACATTCGTTGTAACGGAACCCTTTTGGTTGTTTACTGAAATTTGCTTCCGCGTTTTCAATAAATGTCCGTAGAATGTATGAGAAGTCAGTAGGGCGTTTCTCATCATAGTTGGGCTCTTTCAACTGACATGGTAGATTTAAAAGAAAAGCTTTATGCCCTGGTTTCAGTTTGAATTGTGCAACACCTTCATATGAAGTGTTTCTCAGAATAGTAAGATCGTCGTTTACATACGCTTCGATATCTTTTATGGTTTCAGGAGTTATGTTTGAAACAGATGGCTCGGTATCAAAGCCACATTCACTTAAAATTTTGACAATATCGGGCGGAAGACTAACTCTGAATTTTTTTTCCAATCCTACAAAAAAACTGTTTGATGCCTATAGGATATGTGTGATAGGAAAACAAAAAGGTTGAAACTTTGTAAACAACAGAATAGTGAAAAATAAAAATATTATTTACCATTTTTACTAGTGAAAACAATACACAAATTTAAATGTCATTAAACACGCGTAAACATCCGTAGACATTCGTATTCATTCGTATTTTAGTACCAAACTGCGAATGCATTCGTAAACATTCGCACTATGGTACGGCGCATTCGGTCGCATTCGGTCGCATTCGTAAGCATTCGAATTTTTGTACTGTA